ACAATTGAAATTTCTTTCAGGAAGCCTAACACTAAAAGGTGTTTTTGATTCAAAGAGCATCGTAGAGACGACGAACAAATAAGAATAATAATACATTCACTTCTATTTTCCCCGCCAAATAATCTGAACAAAAGAATCAACCGAGGGTAATCAACTGTTAAACGATTTTTAAAATGAGTCCTTGAAAAATTAATTAATACTTCTTGTCAAATATTATTGAAGAACAGCAAAGGCGAATGCGAAAGTCGCTACAATTCAGAAATCATTGCTTGCATTGCTTTTCTCTCAAAATTACCGTGAGATATCAAGCTACATAGAACTATGATCGACACAAAAGATATTGTCTTGAAAACAGTCAGAAATATTAGAACTTGAATGAATAAAACATAATGCAAATGAATAAGACTAGAATGAATAGGACACAAGTTAATTTCTACCATTTAAATCATCCAGTACCAAATACCTGAGCAAAATTCGAACCAGATGCATTTAATGGTAAACTTAAAGACAATGATTCATGACAATTGTCAATCGTCATGAGTTTATCGTCTAGACGTATTGCAAAAGATAATCAGAATAATAATGATCAGAATGATACCTCTACTATAAGGCCTAATTCTACATGTACTATACTACACTAGTGCCATTGTAGATTATGCTGATAATACAGATGATAATAATGATATGATAACAATTATAATAATACTATATACTTACACTAATTGTCATCAAAATCATCATGTTCATATTCATCATAATAATAACAATAATAATGATTATAATAATTACAATAATAACTTATCTTAACGATAATAATCATGATAAGGATAATAATCACAATAACAAACATAATAATTACAAAAATATCATTAGTAACATCACCAACCATAATAATCATTGTTGTCATTATTATTGTGATACTGCTTCTAATACTACTCCTACTACATGTACTAGGAAGGAGGGGAAGAGGAAGAATCTTAATGTTTATTTTTTGTATTATCGAGGCATACAAATGCACAGGGAGGTAAGAGAGGGAAAACTAAGGCGACGAAGAGGGAGAGAGAACGAGAGGGGGTAGCCTATGGCCCGGGTTCAAATTCAGTTCTCTTTAATTTATTTGACCCAGTACTGCTGATCATAATTTTATCTACCATGTGATTGCCATGTGTACGCCACACCGAATAGCACTAGCTCAAAAGATTTTACACACTAATATATATATATATATATATATATATATATATAGTAAAGCTACATACACTTAACTGAAGGAAAGAAACCTATAGAAAACGGACTGGATATTATTGAAAATACTATTCTAAACAAGAATGTACTACATGTACTACATTACGTTACAATTTCACGAGAGAAATAGAACTCGAGAGGGGAAGAAAAGAAGAAGTGATGAAAATGAAAGAAGACTAATAGCATGAGAGGAATGAAAAGAGCTAAGAAGACAAGAAAAGGGTGTAAAAAGGAAAAGGAAGAGCAAGAGAGAGAGAGAGAGAGAGAGAGAGATAGCCTTGAGCTTTTGATCGGCTAATGAGTAATAAATGAAACAGATTTTGAGTGGAGTAATTATCTTTCGCCGGAGAACTTGCATAAGGAGCTAAAACTTGATGTTTTTTAAATTAAACATCATGGGGAATAGCAAAAAACGGCTGAGCATTTATTGCACTAATTGCCAGAGGAGCATTCATGTCTTCCACGAGGCCGCACTTTTGGATCAGAGAGCAATTTGTCGGTGGAGCATTGTCTTTTGCGGAGTACTTTTGGGGAGGAGCAACAATTATTGTCGTAGTAGCCTTTGTATTTTACGGGGCACTTTTTTAGCAGAGCAAATGTCGGCGGAGCAATTGTCGGTGTCACCGGAGCAAGTGTCGCTTCACGTGGAACAAATGTCGGCAGAGCAATTGTCGGCAGAGCAAATGTCACCGGAGCAATTGTCGGCAGAGCAAATGTCACCGGAGCAATTGTCGCGTTTTGCGGAGCAAATGTCGGCGGAGCAATTGTCGGCGGAGCAATTGTCGGCGGAGCAAATGTCGGCGGAGCAATTGTCGGCGGAGCAATTGTCGGCGGAGCAAATGTCGGCGGAGCAACTGTCGGTGGAGCAACTGTCGCGGAGCAATCGTCGGCGGAGCATGTGTCATGGAACCAAAAATATATATGAATGTGGAGACAGCTAGGAAAGTCAAGGGCTTTATTGTGCTGCCACCAAAACAGTTATAAAGTATGATAAAGTATTATATTGTTGTTTGAGAAGGTAATTAAAAAAAAAAAGCCTAAATAGAGGGGGGGGGGGGGGGGGGGACAAAAACAAAAACCAGACCGTGTACAGAATCAATCTTTATTTATTTTGTTGGATTAAAAATGATTTATATCTCCTTTTAAAAACGTTATTTGATGGACTAGATTATATATCTTGAGGTATATTATTTAAGTTTCAATGGATTTCACGCTTCCTTGGGAGGGAACGCTAGATTGAAGCCGATACGGCTTTGACTAGGAGGTTTAGAATTCAAATACACAAAAATTCCATTTGTTAGTATTCTTATCATTATTAAGTAACCTTTCACTATTGAAGTTTTCTATTGAAGTAGTGATCAACACCTAATAGGGCATTTGGTTGAGGTGCGGTATGTGAAGAAAAAAAAGTTATGATAATATCTATGATTCTATTGTTATTTGTTCAACATTACAAATACAATTCTTTTTCATTCTTGTCACTCTTACTACATCAAGCGCTGATATTCTCCTTAAACATTTTCATAAATGTTTTCCTATCTACATATAACCATGTCTGAATGTTCCATAAAATATTCCCATCCTATATTCTGATTCAGATTGAAGTTGCAATGAACAAGCTACAAGCATACATGTACACAGCATACACAGTACACTCAATTGTCTCCTTCAATTATCTTCATGAACATCTAATATATCATTGAGGATGGATCTTAATTACAGTGTCCTTTTTTTATCATGTCAATATTCATTTCAGCTAAACACATTCTCTTGTCCCCATTTTGATTGTCTTACAACATACATTGTAGCTCACATTCACATGAATAGTTTCCTGCTCTGACTCATGACTTGAGAACAACTATTTGGTTTCAATTTTTGTTATTGTTCCTGCAAATATTGATTTTAATGAGGGGGGAAATTTCATGCAGTGAGTCAAGTAATATAACCTCCCGGTTTATGGTTACTTTTTTTAAAAACTGTTCAAGTGGTAGATTTCAAACACTGTTAGAGGGACAGTTGAGTTCTTGTTTAAAGACTACATGTAAGTCCACTTCAAAAATAATTTGCTTTTAATAGATGCAGAGAAACAGAGCAAAAACAATTTTGAGTAAATCAGATAACTAATAAGGAAGTTATGAATATTTAAAAAAGTATGAAAAAGTATGGAACAATGGAGATCACTACACAAATTACCAATTTGGTTATCACTTTGTGACGTCAAGTCCTCACTATTTATCAATTGCTTTATTTTAATCCCATTAAATTCCCTTTTTATCCCAAAAAACTTGATTTCCCCATGCCTTTACCCAGGTTATATGATTTGTATCATATTGCTTGCATAACATTTCGCAAAATCATTTATAAGATTTGAAGAATTTATACTATGTTCTGAATGTTTTATATTCATAATTATTGATTTTGTATACAAATAGTTTATCAAAATTCACATGTTTCAAGATTTAACTAGAAAAAAAATACTCTTTATTTGTGCACCCACACAAAAACATACTATCAATATAACTTGGATGCTGGTGTGAAGAAATAAGATTCTAAGGGGGGAAACGGGAAATTTATATTATCAATATAAAGAAAACAGTTAGTGGATAGTGAGGCAATGATGTCACAGACTCATGAGTGAGTTGCCAATTTGTCCTGTGATTTTCAAAGTTTTCCCTGTCATTAAAAATTCATAACTTTCTTATTAGTTATCTGATTTTGCTCAAACTTATTTTGATTGGTTTGTCTGATTTTCTGCTTCTATTGAAAGTATTTTGGGGGGAATGGGTTTGCCCTTTAAGTTAGCAAATGCCTTCAACGTGCATATTTATTGCTTTTATTCTCATTTATGACATTTGTAGTGCCCTTTTAGAACCTGAAATTGCTATGAAGGTAATTTTAGACCCTAAAATGTGTGAAATTTAGATTAAATTTGATCATACTAATTCAACGCCACAAGGTGACCGTTAATTCAATATCTTAATAATAATTAATAACAATACATGGGCCCGGCTGGTTGTGCTTATTACAACCAACACAAAAAGCCAACAAAAAGTCAACATTGGCATTGGCTGGTTCAAAATTATAAAATATTTGTGGGGCCACAAATATTAGAAATATGGATATTTCAGCCGTCTCTGAACCGATTTTGATCAAACAAAGATGATTTTGTCATTTAAAGTGTATGGTCTTTCAAAATTGACACTCAATTTTTCATTATCTCACAAAAAAATATTTGGGAAACCCTCTATACCAAATCTCAACTACCCATTGCTGGATACAACCTTAGAGTATGTTTCAAAGTTAAACTTTTGATCTCAATACAAACAACTACAAGCAACTACCATGTCTCTAAAGCACTCTGCAGATGCATTATTACCTGATTACCAGATTCAGGCTAGATCGCACACAATGTATGCACATTCTCCACTCCTTGGAGAGCATTCCAGCCACATGCCCCTTTACAGTTGCTCACAATGCTGAGCAAAATACAACAACTTTTGTATCCTACAGGGTACCCATTTAAATGGAGAAAAGCAATATTCATGTACACATAGATAAGATGCCTTGCTCCAAGACATGCCGTGCTGCGCTGGGGTGATCGACCCTATGACCTTTATATCTTCGGGTCACATTTTTAAAGCAATTGATTTCAAAACCTCTATGAAAAAAGTACCTACGATACATTTGTGTAAAAATTAAAATTAAATCCATATCGGATATCTATTCAATGATGGCAATGATCCTGTTAGACTTACGTCATCAACGACATCTTGTGCATGCATGGACTCTGGAAAGAAGGTATAAAGACTCGTCTTCACACCAACATCCTGGGCAAAACGACCTGACGACAAGGCTCTGTTCAATCTGAAAGAAATATGAAAAAAGTATAAAAAAGAAAGAAAAAAAGTTTACCATTTATACAGTGGATAATGTGAATACAATTAACAATGTTCTCATTGAAGCGCAGACAGTGTTATGCACAGTATGACTTTAATATCAATTAAACCAAAGCATCTTTTTGATGAGTAGAAATTTCTCCAACTCTCTTCTGATGTGTGTGAAGGTGAGTATGTGTGTGTGTTTGTGCCTGCTCTCTGTCTCTCTGTCTCTGTTCATCTTTCTTTCTCTGCCTCTCTCACTCGATCATACCCCCTCTCTCTTTTTTCCATTTCTTCCCTCATATCTCATACATTGATATCTTCTTACACTTCAATCACAAAAATATCTCATCCAAGCCCTTGGCTGGAGGCTATGCTCAAAGCTAGAGCTAATCAAGAGTGACTTGGCTTTCCCAGGCTGCATCATTTCAGTTCATGCTTTGATTCAGTTATACCGCAGAGCAGGCTCTAAACAACATATTCATGCAATCAAACGCATCGCTGCTCATCAAAAGGGTTCTCTAGTCTGAGTTGTCAAGTGGATGTATAATTGATGTGTAAAGACATCATTTAATACCTAACCCACAATTTACCCATTAATTAACAAATGATCATTTCCAAGAGTGCTAGGTAATTGAAATAAAAATGATTTGGGAGAAAAGATAGGAAGGGAAAGAAAGAGAAAGACAGAAAAGATCAATCGATCGATCGATCAATCAATCAAGGGAGAGAGAGAGGAAGAGAGGAAGAGAGGAAGAGAGAGGAAGAGAGAGGAAGAGAGAGGAAGAGAGAGGAAGAGAGAGGAAGAGAGAGGGGAGAAAGAGACAGAGAAGAAAGAGACAGAGAAGAAAGAGAGAGAGAAGAAAGAGAGAAAGAGAAGAAAGAGACAGAGAAGAAAGAGAGAGAGAGAGAGAAAGAGAAGAAAGAGACAGAGAAGAAAGAGAGAGAGAGACAGAGAAGAAAGAGACAGAGAAGAAAGAGACAGAGAGAGAGAAAGAGAAGAAAGTGAGAGAGAAAGAGAGAGAGAAAGGAAGAGAGAGAGAGAGAGAGGGAGAGAGAGAGAGAGAGAGAGAGAGGGAGAGAGAGAGAGAGAGAGAGAGAGGAAAGAGAGAAAGAAGGGAGATTTTAATGAGTTATACATGACATTTAGAATATGACTGAGATGAGGTCAAAATCCACCCAAGTATGGTTCTGCTTGCTAACTTCATAATAAATTATACAAATGTTTGCTGGACTTGGACTACACAACGTACTGATGCCAAAGAGGCTTAGGCAAATATTTGGTAATTTGCTATCTTATAATAAAGAATCCTGCTTGAATATAAGCAAGTCAAAAAAATCAAATAAATACATCTTTTGACATAACAGTAAATCACACATGGTTTGTGGTTTCATCCTCATAACCCATAACTTCAACCAAAATGTCTTTAAAAACCTTTAAAAGTCTTCTAAACTCTTCTAAACTAGAAACAAAAAACAAAAAAATCAGACAAACCAGTTTAAAAAAACCAATAAGAAAGTTATGAATTGTTAATGACATGAAAAAGTTTGAAAATCCCAAGACAAATTGGTAACTCACTAATGAGTCTGTGACGCCGCGCACGGCAGAGAGGTACGCAGTTTGCATATAACCAAAAATGCATGGCGCATATAACCAAAAATGCACGACCGTGCCATATACCATCTATTGAATATCATGTGACCAACACTCCTCCAATCAAATGACAGGGATCCACGTAGGTGTTGTATAATAAATAATATGCAATACCCGGTAAACTAAATACAGAATATTATGAAAAAAACCTAAGGGTGCATGCAATGCTATTTGCATTCAATGTCAAATTATGGTTCGAGAGCAATGAATGCAGAGTTGCGTCCTTGATCTAACAGTTTCAGAACTGTGATTCTGAGCTAAAAGCATGTTGTATGAACACAGCTGTAGTGCATTTTGATCTTGATTATAAAGTAAAGTTGCATCCACACAATCACTCTCCCACGGGTAATGGAAGAAAAAAAGCCAAACTTAATCACAATCAATAAAAAAATGACATGTGATTGTGATATTGATCTTTAATGAATCAATAACAGCTTGTGTCATGTGACGTATGTGGTTTTTCACACAAAAATGTATCCAGTTAATGATTACGCTTCATGTACTTCATTGACTTTCCCATTTAAGTTTTGTATCGTAAAGTAGCGGTAAAATTAAATTTTGAAAGGAATTTTTTGACATCCAGAGTAAATGAGATTTTTTTGTTGGTTCATTATTTGTATATATGGATAAATATTGATAAATCTATATTAATTTGTAACATATGGTCATAAAAATCAATAGTGTACTGGTAGCTTGAAATTTGGTTAAAATGTACTATGCAAAATCGACATTATCACACAAATCATTTTAAAAAGCATTTTTCTATCTTTACCTGAACACAAGATCATGGCTATCGATTTCTGGGCCGGCGTTGGATCCATTCAAGATGCCCCCACAACCAACCACTGCACAGCGCAGACACTTAGGCCGCTCTTTATCTCCAAACAGAGCTGAGTTGGTGAAGTTTGGATGACTCATAATTCTTCCAAGCTCTGTTTGAAGAAGATGAGAATAAAAAAAAAGATAGGAGTGAGATGACATAATGAGATAGAATTGTTAGCTGAGAGCCAGAAGGGCATTACTCGCATCAATTTGGATAGAGTTGATGCCCTTCTTGCTCTAGTAAAGTGGATAAAAATAATACTGAAGTCAACAAAATGTATTCTTCATCAGTTGACCTATCCTTTGAAACAATGCTACATTGGTCAACCTAGTCTTTTGTCTTCTTTGTGCATGGCTGATCATCAACGAAACGGAGTTAAGTCTTTTGTCAACTTTGTTTGTTGCTATGGCAGGCAGCCAGTGAAAACGAATTTGTTTTATCAAATTATGGAAAATGAAAGCATTACTTTAAACAAACAGAACTTTGTTTTTCCTGATTCATTTTTTTTTTATTGAGGTGTCATATAAAAGGGCAGAAAATGAACTTTCTAGAAATGTGATTTTCTCTATATATTTCTATTATCTAGATACCGTCCGCCAAATAACTTTTGGGTATCCTCTCTTCAAATTGTTTTTAATCACTCATGCATAAAATATGCATGATATGAGTTTCGTCAAATGAAAGAGGAGGATCTAAGCTTTACAAATATGTGTCATTTATTAATTATAATTGTGATTAAGCTATGATAAAACATCAATAATTCTCGGTTTTGTTTTTTCTGGGACGCACTGTATTCAGCACTGTGCAGAATCAACAGGGCACAGTATACGTTTTATGCTGCACAAAGATTCAATCAGTTTAATCTTGGCCATCACAAGAAGTGGGTTATTGATGTAGACAAATGCTCATGTACCCTTTACAACTCTTTTCATGTAGGGTCTATGTTATTACCAAAGAAGAAAAAAAGCCAGTCAGTCACTCAATAGTGTCTGACAGTGAAGTCTAGCAAGTAAACAGTTTTCCTTGCATAATTTGAATATGAGGACACTGCTAACGTTTAAATTTCACAGATAGGACATACATGACAAAGTCATAATTCCTGCAAAGTTCTACAGCATTTGAGGTTGGCTGCAAAAGGGACATAGTACCTTTAAAGGGTAAAAGGTAGAGAGAGACGAGAGAGTTAGAAAGAGGGGAGGGCGGATGGAGAGAGAAAGAGGGGGGGGGGGGATGGAGAGGTATAAAAGAGAGAGAGAGAAGAGAGAGAAGGAGCAAGAGAATGGGGAAGAAGGAGGAACAAGGGGGAGAGGGGGAACAAGGGAAAGAGGGAGGAACAGGGGAAAGAGGGAGGAACAAGGGGAAGGAGAGCAGGAAGGGGGGGGGGGGGAGATATACATGTAGAAGGAGAAGGCAATCTCATGATTCTTGTCAGCATTCTAGAGTGATGGCAGGAGACAGGTAGTAAGGGAAGATGGAGGATGAATGAGGGATCAAAGGCCAATCTAATAAAAAGGAACTGAAAAAGAGAAAGAGAAAGAGAAAGAGGGAGTATGGGAGAGCATGAGGCAGAAAATGAGAGATATTAAAAAGAGAAGGATAATTATCTATATGATGAAGACAGAGCAACAGAAGGTGAAGGGGAAAATGGATCTGGATTAGGATCATTCTAGAAAGAGAGAAAAAGAGAGAGAGAAAGAGAGAGAGAGAGAGAGAATGAAATAGCTGGCTCATACAGTACATCAAATCACCATGCCACCCACTGACAGCAAGAAGGGTGTTAACCTGTCAACATAACAGGGAGCCTGACAGAGGAACAATGCCCTTCTTACTCTTAACAATTCTTCTACGAGGAGCAAAACAAAAATCAGATTGCATTTTTAAATTAAAGTTATTTACAGGGAAGAACTTAGAGGGCAGAGGCATCTATAGTAATACTTGAATAACATGCACTCGATTCTGCTGGGAACATATTTATGTGCAAGATGACAGATCAGAGAAGGGAGAGAGAGAGAGAGAAGGGAGAGAGAGAGAGAGAGAGAGAGAGAGAGAAAGAGAAAGAGAAAAAATTAATAGGGGGGGGGGGGGGTAGTGAAAGAAAAAAATGGGAGGAAACGTGAGGTAGAGAGGAAAACAGAGAGAGGTGGCACACATTAACCTAGATATTTTTGTTGTAAAAACCATCTCAAATAGTGGCACAGCAGGGAGACAAGTCTCCTGTCAAGATAAATTTGTCTGTTCAGAGCGACAAAAATAATAATATTAGGTTCTTGTACAGCCCTCATGACTGTCAAACCTGACACTCTGTGCACTCCACAGTTATTACACAGGATATAGCATGGCTGCCGGCATTATGGGGCTCTTTAGCATTTCAAAGAATTAATTCGGGCCACGTACCCATGTACCTCACCTGGGTCAGGTGTGGCAAATGGAGATTGATGCCTTGCTTAAAGACATTGGTGCTGCAGTGGGACTCGAACCGCAAACCATATGATCCACAGTCTAGTGACGTATCCACTAGACCATGACACCTACACATGTATGTGCTTACTGAACTTTTCATTTTCCCAAATCACTCATGCATGACTTTCCAGGCACCATTTTTTACATATCAGATTCGTTTTCATATCTTTCCTTTTCCGGTCCCATCTCCACTTTGCTAGATGCTACAGACTTATAACAAATTGGTCTAGATTGTCCAGGAGATGCGCTTTCATCTGCCGCATAGAAACACAGGCATCAATGCATGCATAGCGTTTTAATAATAGTTCACATTCAAGTATTTTAGCAGACATAGATTTTGCAACAAATCTGATGAAGCAGGAAACTTCAATGGTTTTAAAATCTATATTTTATCTTGACAATCCATCAAAATTTGGGGAGAAAATTACATAAAAATCTAATTTTGTAGATCGCAATCTAGATTGGGTTAGGATATTACTTTCAATTGCATGTCATTATTAGACCAATATGGATGAACATGTATATAACATTGATGAGCTTTATCTTCTTCCTAATAAAGTACCAACAAAGCTCTTCTAGCCACACATTAACATGTAGTTTTTTGGCAGGCACTGTATGTGTGAGCAAAGGGAGGTTTGATATTTGGATGCTCTAAATCCCATAATGCATTAAACTTCCTATATGCATTTGTTTGTAATTATGCCAGGCTTGCAGGCTGTATGAAATCTATTCTTTGAAATATTAGAGCATGTTGTCTGAGAATATTTTGCATTGATGCTGAATATTTTGTCAATAAGTTGATTATGCTATTCCATTCACACTTTCAAAAGTTATTTACTCCAATCCTTAATATGACATATTAGTCAGCTGAAATGTGAGCACAGCTACGGAAGTTAAAAATCTTCACACAACCCTTTATCCACTTGCATTTTTAGGTGATACGTACAAAGTCTACGTATCACCTATTGATTTCGTCAAGATTTTTATTATTAGGTGATACGTACGTAGACGTATCACCTTTTGATTTCGTCAAGATTTTTATTATTTATTTATTATTTATTTATTATTATTCTTCCTCGAATTTGTTCGCAGGATATCTCAAGACTGAATAAAGCCATTGGGTGGTATTCCGGTAGCGCGTACTAAGTTAGCGCATACTAAGTTAGTCCACACTTTTATGGAGTGCCAGTTGCCAACTCATTTATCCTGTACAGATTATTTTAAACCTTCAATGAAAAGTGTCCAAAAAATTAATTTTGCAATGAAATGGGAAGAAAAAGATAATATGAGTATGAACTGAATTTCAACAAAGTCTTTGGTAGATTATCTTTGTCATGAATATTGAAGGAGGAAGATGAAACCTAGCATTCCATAGAAGTGTGAACTAAAATTCTTGTTTAGTCTGGACTTAGTCCCGGCTTAACTTATGAGAATACCACCCATTATCATGAATCTTTCAATGATGATAGATCTTAGTCTAACTTAGAACTGCGTGACTTTTCAAGGACTCAAAGACATCGTGACGTCATCCAAGCGCCATTTTGTGAAAATCAACTAATGATCAAATCTTCATAACGGAAAGTAATTCTTCATTCATATTTATCACGATTAAGATCAATATCTGTCCGCTCAATTTTAAGTCAATAAACGTGCGCATACGCGTTCGTGCGCAAAAATTTAAAATGCTCTAAATCGTCTTAAATTTTTTTTGCATACGTTTCAGGCCATTTAAAGAATTTTGAAAAAAAATTGCGCACACGCACATGCGTGCGCGTTTCCGCGCGTACTACCATTTTGCAACATAGAATCGCTGAATTTTCTCTGTCATCATATTTGGCATATTTTTCTAAGCATTTTGATAACTTGTTCAGCTTTTAATAACGCAATGAGCGTCCGTCAAAGTTGGCAGCACGCGCGGATCTGCGTTTTCTTTATCCACAATACATGGACAAAATCATGCCTATACAAAAATCATTGTAACTCTTCAGAAAAGATGGGAACTCCAATATTTTTTTCATACTTGGGTAGATTATGAGTTGGAGATATGATTTCATGTCTCATTTGACCCTCAATTAACTCATAATGTCATCATAATGGCCTCCGAACTTAAAATTTAAATTTGCATATTATGACGTTTGCATATTTTTGGAAAATTGATTGTATCTCTGTAAATATTGAATGTTTTTCTTTCAAATTTATTTTTTGATATGTTCTAGCTGAGATAATTTTCTACAAATGCAGTGTCCATAATTTTCCAGTTTGACAAAGGTATCATGGCGTATTTTTGCGATTAAAGGAGGCATGTCAATTTTTCACATTTTGCGTGTATTGTCTATAGGACATGACTATTTCTCAAAACTGAATTCTACATTTCCGTCTTTTGCGAGCAATATCGATCATATGCCGGGATCATGCTCATATTTCACTTGCAAAGTAGGATTTGAGAATTCCATTTCCCGTTTACGTGTAATCGCTATGGGAAATGTTTGGGTATATCGGTAACGCACTTGACTTCAATTCTCGAGATCCATGGTTCGAGTCCGGGTGTCTCCAACAATAGTTGTCTTCACTTTTTTTTTTTTGACCTTTCACTGTACCATCTCCTTTGATTATTAAAACACGTAGAGTCGCAAATAATGTAATACACAA